CTAAATGCCCAAAAACCACCTCAAAAAACCCCTCTTCTGCCCTCTGATTAATTTACTTTTATTAACCCCCGCCTTTTCCTAATTTCCCACACTCCAATTTTCTTCATAATATTTACACCACACTTGCCCTTAGAAGGACATCTCCACTGCCTCCAACCGTCTCCTCGCTGCTGCATTTACCACCTAAGCTTCACACCCATAAAAGAGTGTTGGTACTACTAACTTTCATACATCCCCTTCTTTGCCTCCATAGATAACGTTTTTTGATCCACATATACCTCAATGCACCACTCACCTTTTTTCCCTCATAAATTTTCTATGATTAACCTCTCCTTAAATAAATCCAAACCGCCGACACATCAACCCCCAAGTATCTGAAAACATTCTTCTTCCATACTCCTCCTCCCCAATTTAAATATCCAATTTTTTTTATCTAAATCATTTGATACCCTCATCACCTTACTCTTTTCTATGTTCACTTTCAACTTTCTACCTTTACACACATTCCCAAACTCATCCACTAACCTTTGCAATTTTTCTTTATAATCTCCCATAAGCACAGTATCATCAGCAAAAAGTAACTGTGTTAATTCCCATTTTGAATTTGATTCCCCATAATTTAATCCCACCCCTCTCCCGAACACCCTAGCATTTACTTCTTTTATAACCCCATCAATAAATATATTAAACAATAAACGTTAATCTCCATGGGGTAGTGAAGAAGAATTCTTCCTCCGTTAGCCATGCGTGTCGTGAGAGATGACTACAATTCCGGGAGCAAGGAGCTAGTAACCCTTCTCCTGTATAAATTACTAAATTTAAAAAGGGAAAATTTCATTTTTCTTTTTAGGTCACCCTGCCTCGGTGGGATACAGCTGGTGTGTTGAAAAAATAAAAGTGGCGCCTATGCTAACCTTCCTATGGTGTAGAAATATACCTAGTTGGACGAATCTTATTGTGGCTAGCTGGTCCAGTGGCTAACATGACAGTCTGGAGTTCTGAAACTCTCTGATCGCGGGTTCTATTCCCACTCGTGGTATGGTTTGTTTGCAATCGTGTCATTACAATTTCGTGAGTCATGGGTCTTAACACTTGGTGTGTGCCGTATTAAAAAAATCTGGGACTACTTAGTACCTTGTGGGAGCACCAGTTCAATTGAGTGCCAGCTAGAGCAGTGTGGCAAACACCAGGGATTAAGATGTTGACCCTGAGTTTAGTGGCCTTGAGATGAATGTGGCCACAAGTGATCGAGGAAATATCAAAACCCTCAGTAATAACCCATGTGCAACATCCTTTCAATTTTGATACCACTGGTAGTGTTATCCTGCCAAAATGTCCTATAACCTATGCCCTAATTAAAGGGAAACAATTCTGTAACGTGTAATATCTGTTTGGCAGCCCGGCTGGCTGGCTGATTGACATTGGCTGTCTATCTCTGTCTCTGTCTCACAGGTACACATAAATACAGTTATACATAGTCTAAATTACCTAGGATAACCCATATTTTCAGACAAAGTGCTATACTGTGATTGTAGATATAAAGGTATAATAAGCATGACTGGCAAGTAATAGGCATTTTCACTTGTTCAGGAATCACACATGACGACTCTGCATCGTGTGTAATACCTGTTGGTTTATGAGCGGCTCTCTCTCTGAGACAGAAAGAGACAAGCAGACAGACAGGAAGACAGATAGATAAGCAGAGACAGAGATAGAGAGACAGATACAGACATGTTTATGTGAAACGGTGAAAACAAATAAAGCCAAGGCAGTGCACGATCATTAAATGTCACTCCACTGCTGCACTGTCAGCAGTGGAGTGACTCATCTTACACCGTACTTCAAGGAGTTTCATATACAGTGGCACCCCAGTTTTCATCCTTAATCCGTTCCAGAAGGTTGGTTGAAATCCAAAATGGACAAAAACCAAAGTAATATTTCCCGTAAGAAATAATGTAAATCCAATTAATCCGTTCCAGACACCCAAAAAAAAAAAAAAAAAAAATTATAGAAAATAACTAATTTTACACACAGAAAACATCGAGAAATATAAAGCACTAATTTTAATGGATAAATGAACATTTAAATCACTTTTACCTTTATTGAAGACTTGTTGGCATATTCTTTATGAGATCTGCATGCAACTGCCTTGCCTTTACACAAATTATCCCCTCCACAACACTATCTCCTGCTAACTGTTTTTCGATGATCCACACCACAACAACAACTCCACATCTTCAATCGTTTGTGATCTCTGTTTCATTAGCATATTTACCCCCTTTTGCAACATCAGCTTCCTTGATTTTTACTTTCTTTGCCAGGATGGAACAGTGTTGATTTGGATTTCCCATACAGTCTGGTGAGCATGGCCACACATATGCCACTTTTTTATTTTGGTACAAGCTCTTTCCTGAATTCTACTGTGTTTCTCACCTTCTTTACCAAAGGGCTGGCACTCGGAACTTTCTTTGGCCCCATTGTGGCTTATTTCGCAGTTCGCCCTCAATAAACAAGTACCAAAAACAATGAATGAATGCGTAGAGTATCGTTCACTTGACAAGTGACAGAGGCAGACTGAGTCAGGCGGCAGCGGCCCAGGCAGGCAGACGCATCTGATATGGACGATATCCGAGTCAATGTGCAAAACCCAGAGTAAAAATTTGCCGAAAAGAGTAGTTGAAATCCGAACTGCACAATATTCGGACCAGATGAAAACTGGAGTTATACTGTATACTCCAGCATGCTTAAAACATTGCTGGGACCTATAAATACTTTGTATATATTTCTAGCCAATAATATGTGACCCAGGTAGGTGAAAATGTTCACCTGTCAGTGTGTTTGTCATTATTTGAGTACTATTTCAGTACCTATTATTAGTGTCAGAACAAAGACCAGCCATGAAATCACAAGAACTATGACAAATTGTAATTATCAGAGCATGAAAATTATATAAAATAAAAAAATGAGGAAAAAAAGGTATATCAACAACATTTCTGCAAGTGGCAGGACTGCATGTTGCCATCAGGTGAGCATCCAGCACCAACTTTGCAGCCTTATAGCTTGGTAAGTGCTGACTCTAATTTTTTTTTGGGTCTTATTACACAGAAAATTGCCCTCTTTAATTAAAAAAAATCAAAATATTTGGAGTGCTGGCAGTGAGAACATTCATCTACGTTTGAACCGTTTACAGGTTAATATCTCAGCAAGTAGCTAGTGACGAGAAAATAATTTCTTTTGGTTTCATTAATGGAGAAAAATATGCTCTTTTTTTTTTTTAAATCACGACAGAGACAGCTCTTTTAATTTCAGGGGTCACAACAGTTAAAGGTTTAAACAAAGCTTGTCACTTAGAACTGTGTAAATCTCAGTTTACCAATGTAGCAGATGTTGCAAGTGTATGGAATAGGTGATAGGTTACTGAAAGCAGTTAAGAGTTTTTATGAGATAGTGAAGTTCATCTCCATGGAGACGAATCCTTCCTCTGCAAGCCATGTACTCACTTATTTGTGGTTGCAGGGGTCGAGTCATAGCTCCTGGCCCTGCCTCTTCACTGACTGCTACTGGGTCCTCTCTTTTCCTGAGCTTTATCAAATCTCGTCTTAAAACTATGTATGGTTCCTGCCTCCACTACGTCACTTTCTAGGCTATTCCACTGCCTGACAACTCTATGACTGAAGAAATACTTCCTAACATCCCTTTGACTCATCCGAGTCTTCAACTTCCAATTGTGACCCCTTGCTTCCATGTACAATCTCTGGAACATCCTGTCTTTGTCCACCTTGTCTATTCCGTGCAGTATTTTAGATGTCGTTATCACGTCTCCCCTGACCCTCCTGTCTTCCAGTGTCGTCAGAGGCAACTAAAATGCCAGGAGCATTTCTCTTTTTAAAGGCCACCCCACCTCAGTGGGAGAGGGCCAGTGTTAAAAAAAAAAAAAAAGTGAGGCTCATGTTAGGGTATGTAGGAGAGAGAGGGAGATTATTTTCCAGTAAAAGTAGGTTTTAGACAAGGATGCATGATGTCACCATCGTTGTTTAAAATATTTATAGATGGGGTTGTAAAAGAAATGATTGCTAGGGTACTGAGGAGAGGTGTGGGATTAAAATATTCAAAATCTAATAAACAGTGGGAGTTCTTATAATTTCTTTTTGCCAATGACACTGTGCTTGTGGAAGAGTCTTAAGAAATGTTGCAAGGGCTAGTGGATTAATTTGGGCAGGCAAGTAAAAGAAGGCATTTAAAGGGAACATGGAAAAGAGTAAGGTGATAAGGGTAAGAAACATTTTAGATAATTTAGGACTAGATATCAGATTGGAAGGAGGGAGTATGGAGGAAGTGAATGTGTTCAGATATCTGGGAATGGACTTAATGGTGCAGGTGTCTATGAAAGATGACATGAATCACAGAAATGATGAGGGGAAAGGGAAAAAAGGTGAATGGTGAATTGAGGTCTCTGTGGAGACAAAGAATGTTACACAGTACATTTGGCTTAAGGTGACTTGCTGTAGTGGATCCCTAGGCACAAATAGCATAGGTGAGGTAAGGATAGATTACCACGTAGTATAATGCCAGTAGTGCTGTTTGAGGAATAAAGTAATGTATCTTGGAGTGGATGCCAACTCTTTATGGATACTCTTTTTTTAATATGTTGGATGTGGGTGTTGAATTTTAAGTTGCAGTCAAGGAATAGACCTAGGAATTTTCCTTCATTTTGTTTACCATTTAGTTGGACATTAGTTGCTCTGTTCCCAAACATTGTGCAGAAGGTCTTATCAATGTTGTGTGTGAATTAATTGGTACTCATCTAGGTTGACATCTTAAGAGATCTTCATTAATGATGCATGAAATGGGCTTGGGCTGTGTAGGCACAAATTTTATAGAATTCTGTGCAATAAATGAAAAATGTATCTTCTGGTTGGCTTTAAACTTCAAGTGCTGATGTGTTGTCCTCAAGGAAACAACCTCTTGATGTTAGGTTGTGTAAGTTATAATGTACCAACTGTTGTCAAACTGTTGTCTGTGAAACAGTTGGAGAAAGTCACAATGTCTGATTTTATTTGGTTATCCTAGGTTAAATCAACACACGGTACTTTTGTGTGTGTAAAACATCTGTGCACCCTCAAGACCATTATAAAAATTAGTATACCTGGAGAGGGTTTTGGGGGTCAACGCCCCCACAGCTCAGTCTGTGACCAGGCTTCATGGTGGATCAGGACCTGTTCAATCAGGCTGCTACTGTTGGCCGCATGCAACCTGACATACAAACCACAGCCCAGCTGGTCAGGTACTGACTTTAGGTGCCTGTCCAGAGCCTTCTTCAAAACAGCCTAGGGTCTACTGGTAATCCCCCTTGTGTATGCCATAACTGAGACGTGGTTTAATTAAAAAAGTTGGGACATGCCTGCGGAATGTCACTTACAGGGTTTTAAATTGTTCCAAGTAGATAGAAGTATTGGGAAGGGGGGTGGGGTGGCATTGTATGTCCGAGATCGCTTGAACTGTTGCATAAAAACGGGTATTAAGTCTGAAGTAATACGTACAGAGGACCCCAATGGAAATAAGTCACTCTGTCTGACTTTTTTGGGTTATCCTAGGTTCTCTACACATATGCTGCTATATATGATAATTCTATGTAACTGTATTTGTGTATACCTGAATAAACTTACTTACTTACTTAGAGTCTATTTGGATAGAATTTTCAGAGGGGCATGAAAAATTGATTTTAGGTGTGATATACTGTCCCCCAAACTTAGATAGGGACTAAGGGAGACTACTATGGGAGGAAATTGCTAAAGCCACAACGCACGATAATGTAATAATTCTAGGAGACTAACTTTAGTCATATTGATTGGAATTTCTTGACTGGGAATTTAGAATCATACGACTTCTTAGAAGTAGTTCAGGATTGTTTTTTGAAGCAGTTTGTGACAGAGCCTACAAGGGGAAATAACCTGCTTGACTTAGCTCTGGCAAACAATGAATCCCTTGTTAATAATTCAGAAATTTCAGAAGAACTGGGTGCTAGCGACCACAAATCAATTACATTTAGCATTGAATGGAAGTATGATAGTAGGGATAACTCAGTAACAGTCCCAGATTTTTGCTTAGCAGATTACGATGGGCTTAGAGAACACTTATCATCTGTTGACTGGGGTAACGAAGAGAGCTATCAATATGAAAGTTTTCTGTACACTATATATGCTGCTCAAAAAACGTTTATCCCGTATAAAGAAATTAGATCAAATAGAAATGACCCAAAATGGATGAATAATAGGCTGAAATATCTACTAGGGCATAAGAAGGGAATTTATAGGCGTATCAAAAGAGGTGAGGGTCATCTTTTGAATCAATATATTGACATTAAGAGGGATATTAAAAAGGGGATAAGAAAACCTAAAAGGGGCTATGAAATTAAAGTTCCTAGGGATTTGAAAACTAACCCAAAAAGTTTTTTCCAGGTCTATAGAACAAAAGTTAGAGATAAGATAGGTCCCCTTAAAAATAACTATGGGCATCTTACTGACAAAGAGAATGAAATGTGCTCGATTTTAAACAATTATTTTCTCTCGGTTTTTACACAAGAAGACACTAACAATATTCCAGTAATTAATTTTTATAGTGGGCCTGAAGAAGATAAATTATGTAACACCACAGTCACTAGTGAAATGGTTGTTAAGCAGATAGACAGACTGAAGCAAAATAAGTCGCCGGGTCCTGATGAGCTTTTTTCAAGGGTTCTTAAGGAATGCAAAATGGAACTCTGTGAACCATTAACTAATATTTTTAATTTATCTCTTCAAACAGGTGTAGTGTCTGATATGTTGAAGATGGCTAATGTAATTCCTATTTTTAATGCAGGGGTTGCAAGTCGTTACCGTCAAATTACCGCCCAATAAGCCTGATCTCAATTGTAGGCAAATTACTAGAGTTAATTATAGCTGAGATTATAAGAAGCCATCTCGATAAGCATAGCTTGATTAATGATACTCAGCATGGATTCACGAGAGGCCATTCTTGGCAAACTAATTTATTAACTTTCTTCAGTAAAGCTTTTGAGGCCGTTGATCACGATAAAGAATTTGATATTATTTACTTAGATTTTAGTAAGGCTTTTGATAGAGTTCCACACCAAAGACTGTTAAAGAAAGTGGCAGCTCATGGCATTGGGGAAAAAGTGCTCTCATGGATCGAGTCATGGCTCACAGACAGGAAGCAGAGTGTGTCCATCAATGTCGTTAAATCCGAGTGGGGATCTGTAACAAGTGGGGTTCCACAGGGATCAGTCTTGGGCCCGTTGTTGTTTATAATATATATCTATGACCTTGATGAGGGTATTACTAGTGATATGAGCAAATTCGCCGATGACACAAAGATGGATAGGATAACTGACTCAAACGTAGATGTTAGGGAACTTCAGGAGGATTTAGACAAACTCTATTCTTGGTCAGAAAAGTGGCAGATGCAGTTCAATGTAGAAAAATGCAAGGCTCTGAAGCTCAGGAGTGTCCATAACCCTAGCACTTATAAGTTAAATAATGTAGAACTTAGCTATACAGATTGCGAAAAGGACTTGGGGGTTATGGTGAGCAGCAACCTTAAACCAAGACAGCAGTGCCTAAGCGTACGTAATAAAACAAATAGATTATTGGGATTTATATCAAGAAGTGTAAGCAACAGAAGTCCAGAGGTTATACTGCAGCTTTATACATCATTAGTAAGGCCTCACCTTGACTATGCAGCTCAGTTCTGGTCTCCATATTACAGAATGGACATAAATTCGTTAGAAAACATTAAGTGTAGAATGACCAAGTTAATACATAGCATTAGAAATCTTCCTTATGAAGAAAGATTGAAGACTCTTAAATTACATTCACTTGTTAGACAAAGAATGAGGGGAGACATGATCGAAGTGTATAAGTGGAAGATGGGTATTAATAAAGGGGATATTAATAAGGTCTTGAGAATCTCTCTCCAGGAGAGAACCCGCAATAATGGATTTAAATTAGACAAGTTTAGATTTAGAAAGGACATAGGAAAGTATTGGTTTGGAAATAGGGTAGTTGATGAGTGGAACAGTCTACCTAGTTGGGTTATTGAGGCTAGGACTTTGGGTAGTTTCAAATTTAGGTTGGATAAATATATCAGAAGGAAATGTATGAAAGTATAGTAGTACCAACACTCTTATATGGGTGTGAAGCTTGGGTGGTAAATGCAGCAGCGAGGAGACGGTTGGAGGCAGTGGAGATGTCCTGTTTAAGGGCAATGTGTGGTGTAAATATTATGCAGAAAATTCGGAGTGTGGAAATTAGGAAAAGGTGTGGAGTTAATAAAAGTATTAGTCAGAGGGCAGAGGAGGGGTTGTTGAGGTGGTTTGGTCATTTAGAGAGAATGGATCAAAGTAGAATGACATGGAAAGCATATAAATCTATAGGGGAAGGAAGGCGGGGTAGGGGTCGTCCTCGAAAGGGTTGGAGAGAGGGGGTAAAGGAGGTTTTGTGGGCAAGGGGCTTGGACTTCCAGCAAGCGTGCGTGAGCGTGTTAGATAGGAGTGAATGGAGACGAATGATACTTGCGACCTGACGATCTGTTGGAGTGTGAGCAGGGTAATATTTAGTGAAGGGATTCAGGGAAACCGGTTATTTTCATATAGTCGGACTTGAGTCCTGGAAATGGGAAGTACAATGCCTGCACTTTAAAGGAGGGGTTTGGGATATTGGCAGTTTGGAGGGATATGTTGTGCATCTTTATATGTGTATGCTTCTAAACTGTTGTATTCTGAGCACCTCTGCAAAAACAGTGATAATGTGCAAGTGTGGTGAAAGTGTTGAATGATGATGAAAGTATTTTCTTTTTGGGGATTTTCTTTCTTTTTTGGGTCACCCTGCCTCGGTGGGAGACGGCCGACTTGTTGAAAAAAAAAAAAAAAATATATCAGTTAGAGGGATTGGATTTGAGTGGGACTTGCAAATGAGTGGATAGAGTTATCAGAGCTTATTTCTTGGGTAGCATTGAAAATTAGGTTGGGCAAATGTTTTGTTAGCGGGAGGGATTGTAAAGGACCTGCCAAGTATGGGCCAACAGGCCTGCTGCAGTGATCGTCCTTTCTTATGTTCTTATGTAAGTGGTCCCAGATTTTTTTAACACTGCACACACCAAGTGTTAAGACCCATTCTATGCTGGCCAGGCAGCTGAGGCCAATTGTGCCAAATCTGGAGGCAGGAAAAATAAAACGTTGATCTACGTTTGGAGCACTAGCGGTACTAACGTATATATACGTTTGACCATTTATGGGTTAAATAAAAACATTAACCCACTCCAAAACTATATACCTACCTGCTTTTAACATTTCTATCTTTATCCCATCAATCCCAGTTACTTTTCCCCCTTTCATTCTACCCACTGCCCCATGCACTTTCCCCATACTCACACCTGGTTCTTCCTCACTCCTATAAGATGTCATTCCTCCTTGCCCTACACACGAAATCACAGCTTCCTTATCTTCATCAACATTTAACAATTCCTCAAAATATTCCCTCCATCTTCCCGATACCTCTAACTCTCCGCTTAATAACTCTCCTCTCCTATTTTTAACTAACAAATCAATTCATTCTCTAGGCATTCTCAATTTATTAATCTCACTCCAAAACTTTTTCTTATTTTCAATAAAATTTGTTGATAACATCTCACCTGCTCTCTCATTTGCTCTCTTTTTACACTGCTTCACCACTCTCTTAACCTCTCTTTCTCTCCATATACTCCTCCCACCTTGTATCACTTCTACTTTGTAAAGACCTCTCATATGCTAACTTTCTCTCTTACTACTCTCTTTATATCATTCCACCAACTTCTCTTCTTCCCTCTTCCACCCACTTTCATGGAACCACAAACTTCTGCTGAACACTAACACTATATTCTTAAACTTACCCCATACATCTTCTACCTCACTGCCTGTACTCTCACTAGCCCATCTATCCTCCAACAGTTGTTTATATCTTACCCTAACTGCCTCCTCCTATAGTTTATAAACCTTCACCTCTTCTCTTACTTGCTGCTTCTATTTTCCTTGTATCCCATCTGCCTTTTACTCTCACTGTAGCTACAAGTAAAAAGTGATCTGATATATCTGTGGCCCCTCTACAAACATGCATATCCTGAAGTCTACCCAACAGTCTTTTATTTACCAATACGTAATCCATCAAACTACTGTCCTTATGCCCTATATCATATCTTATATACGTACTTATTTATCCTCTTTTTCTTAAAATATGTGTTACCTATAACCAAACCCCTTTCTATACAAAGTTCAATCAAATGCTCCCTATTATCATTTACACCTAGCACCCCAAACTTGCCTGCCACACCCTCTCTCTCAACGCTTGATGTAAGAGATAAAATTGAGCATTTCTGGGGCACTGTCTAGAAATAATGACTCTCCATTAAACTTAAAAAACAGGACAGTAGGGCCCCACTTATATGGCAGGTTAGGTTCCAGGCTACCGCCGGAAAGCAGAACACCATTTTTTCCACTTATAAATGCATATAAATGCCACCCCTACCACAATTACTCTCTCACTTGACTCAAAAGTCCCTACACACTTGCTTAACATCTCCCAAAATCTCTCTCTCTCTCCTCTACACTCCTCTCTTCTCCAGGTGCATACACACTTATTATGACCCACTTTACACATCCGACCCTTACTTTAATCCACATAATCATTGAATAAAAAAAATTATATAAAAAATAATTATATAAAGAAATAAAAAAAACTTACTTTTTGATAAAGGCTGTACAGGGTGGACATGGTCCTGGATGGCAAAGAATATTACACTTATGTTTACACCACTCAATCTTACGACTTCGTCCACATATCTCTCCACAAGAATGGGCTATGTCACGCCGATTCCACTCAGGTTCTCTAACTTTTGCACAGAAGCATCTGTATGCATTTGGAACCTTTGGGGTGGAGCTTTGACATGCAGGGCATCTCCAACCAGAATCTGAAATCAAATGTTCTCCATTTTGTACTCTATATTAAAATGCACTGTTCAAACAAACAAATTTTACTACTTTGCAAGATTACATTGAGAATATGAAATTACAATAATGAGTTGCAATGCAAAGAGCCACTATCATGCCTAGGCAGTATGGACAGACTTAATTTAATGGCTTAAAGACTGCTTAATACCAAATAAATTGATAATAGTTTGTTAACCCTTTCAGGGTTGGTGGAGTACTAGTACGGCTTGCATGCCAGGGTTGGTGCCATACTAATACACAAATTCTAGTACCTTCAAATCTAGTGAGAAAAAGCTAGTAGGCCTACATGCAAAAGAATAGGTCTATGTGGTCAGTGTGCACAGTCTAAAAAAAAATCCTGCAGCACACAGTGCATAACGAGAAAAAAAAAAAACTCCGACCGTGTTTTTGCTTTAAAACAGCGACTTTGCAGTGTATTTTCGTATGCTATTTATGGTTGTATTCTAGTTTTCCTGGTCTCATTTTATAGAATGGAAGACATATTATGGAAACTGAGATGATTTTGACTGGTTTCACAATGAAAACTATCTTGAAATTGAGCTCAAAGTAGCAGAAATGCTTGATTTTTGCCAAAGTTTAAAAGTAAACAAATCATGCCACGCATCCAATACATGTCAACTGGTGAGTCTAATATTCTTTTACTAGTGTGCTGATATTATTTATACCATTTCTATACTAATGCAGTAGTCTGCATAACAGTAAATCTTCTATTTTTTTTGTGAGAATACAAATTCAAAGTGGAATGCAAAAGAAATGTAAGAGGGGCGTGGGGATGTGACTAATGAACAGAAAAAGTGTTATTTTAGTGCAAGGAATGTCTGTCTTGTTTATTCTGGACCCTATCTGGAAATTGGCATCCTTTGAAATTTGTGTGAAATTGGCAAAATTGCCAATTTCTGACCACTTTATTGGATAGTTGAAATCGGTAAATGGGGTGGTTTCTTGTACTCATTCGATAGAAAACATGGAGTTCTAGTGAAATGGTTATGATTTTTATCGACTGGTACGTTGGAATTGGCTGAAAATAGGGCTCAAAGTAGGCGAAATCACCGATGTGTAAACATTGTCAAGACCGCTAACTTTGCAAGAGCATAATTCCTTAAGTTTTCCATCAAATTTCATACTTTTGGTGTCATTATGATCGGGAAAAGATTCTCTATCATTTCATATAAAAAATTATTATTTTTTTTTTTTTCAAAAAATTTCCAACCCAGAGAACAAGTTCAGCAGAGGGCCTGCCGACCCTGAAAATGTTGAAGTTGTACATCTGCTTTTATTTATAGAAGACATTAGTTGTACTCAAATTACAGTAGTTTCAATAATAAATATTGAAATTATATTATGGGAATATAACATTGTGAGCTGTTGAAAGTAGTTAACAGTATGAGAATGCTACAATTGGGTGTAAAGCACTATTGTTTTGGGTAGGTATTTTTACTACAATGTAGTATTAATCAATGTATGAACTTTGGGCATCTTGTTTTGAAGTTTTAAGATTTAGGTAATTGGGAGATTTTTTGGTTAAGTTAAATATTGAGTACAGTGGAACCTCTACTTACGAGCGTGTCCATGTGCGAGATTTTCCAAATATGAGCAGTCGATGGGTCAATTTTTTGCCTCCATAAGAGAGCAAAATTTCCACAAGCGAGCAGACCTCAAGGCAGGTTCCTTGACACTGGTGAGGGGCTCTTGCTCTTGATCTCAGGAATTGTATCTCATTTGTTTGTTGGACTATCTTATTGAAACTTGGGCAATGTATGAAGGAAAGATGCTTCTTAATGTACACCAAAAATGAAATAAATCTAAGAATAAATAATGGAGTTCACTTCTTAGCAATTAGCCACCCCTTAGCGGTAATTTTGAATGGTTTTTATGGTTGTACAGTGGACCCCCGGTTAACGATATTTTTTCATTCCAGAAGTATGTTCAGGTGCCAGTACTGACCGAATTTGTTCCCATAAGGAATATTGTGAAGTAGATTAGTCCATTTCAGACCCCCAAACATACACGTACAAACGCACTTACATAAATACACTTACATAATTGGTCGCATTGGGAGGTGATCGTTAAGCGGGGGTCCACTGTATTCTCGTTTTTTTGGTCTCATTTGATAGAATGGAAGATGTATTACAGAAATAGATATAATTTTGATTGCTTCACGACAAAGTGCCTTGAAATTGAGCTCAACATAGGAGAAATGGTCCATTGCTTGGCTGTTTCAGAGTAAACAAATGACGTCACTGTCTATTCCAATATCCATTCGTGAATGGGTTGACATTATTTATACAATTATTGCAATAAGAAATAACAGTAAATCTTATATTTTTTATGGGAATAAAAATTACAAATTATTTCTATAATAATAATAATAATAATAATAATAATAATAATAATAATAATACGTATAATAATAATAGTATAATAATATACAAAAAGGCCCTGCTTTACGGCGTTTTACCTTATGGCTTCCCTGCAAATTTACGGCGATGTCAAATTATGACCAAAATTGCTATACGGCAAGCGGTCTTTCAAATACAGCGCCCCCCCACCCGGTTTTTCACATTTTCCATGACTACATCTATTATGTCAGGAAACTTTCCAAAATTTCAAGTGTTTTAAAGTTACTGCATATTTTATACGTACTCTGATAATTATACTTATGTGTACCTGTACCTAAATACACTTACACACTCTGCTGGTGTGCAGGTACACATTAAAATCACTAAGAGTCTCTCTACTCATGACGCCCTAATACTACATAATAATAATCACTCTTGAGCACACTAAATGTCTTATTTTACATCAATATAGGCATTTTCATTAATCCATCTATGATATTTTCCTCAAAATTATATATGAAACCCATTACATAGCATATAAACATTTATACATAACACTCACAGAATAAAAATTGATGTAAATATGAGATTTGTTTACAAAGCAGCGGTGCAGGTTTGTGTCGGAAAAAAATTACGTTTTCTCTAGTCAAACACTGGGGGGTAACTGTAGAAAAATAATCTTTTCGTATGCCTTTATATATAGCAATTCACGACCCTTGTGGGTTTAGTGCTTTTTTATATAATTAATTATTTTTATTATTATTTTATATTATTATTTTCATTTTTACTCTAAAAATGGTGTGTTGATGTTTGTTTATTCTGAACTAACTTGTACAACTTGTACAAAAATGTAAGAGTATTTATATTGTGAGGTAATTATTATTACAGTGGACCCCTGCATAACGATATTAATCCGTTCATAGAGAGATCAAAAATGTTATGCGAATGAATTTTCCCCATAAGAAATAATGGAATCAATTAATCCGTGCAAGACACCCAAAAGTATGAAAAAAAAATTTTAACCACATGAAATATACATTTTCCTACACACAAAGAGAAGGATACATGCACAATAGTAGAGTAGTACATGCACAGTATATATTGTGCATGTACTACTCTACTAAATGAAGAATAAATGACACTTACCTTTATTGAAGATGCAGAAAATGACTGATGAGACACTGTGTCCTGGGAGTGCCTTTTCCCCCTGAGTACTGTAGGTCCTGTTTGGCATTTTCTTCCAGAACACGCCTTATCACACTGTGTATGCCACTACGATTCTTAAATCTCTCAAACCAACCTTTGCTGGCTTTAAATTCACCAATATGAGCACTAGTTCCAGGCATTTTCCCTGTTCACCTAGGTGTTAGTGACTGGTGTGGGTTGCATCCTGGGAGACAAGATTAAGGACCCCAATGGAAATAAGTTAGAGTCCTCGATGATGCACTGACTTTCTTGGGTTATCCTGGGTGCTAACCCTCTGGGGTTAATTGTTTCTCGGTAAATGTTTCACGTTAAGCCACACCAACAACACTCTCTCCACATCTTCGAGAAATTTACAGCTGACGGTGGTGCAGCAACAACAGCTGGGGTTTGCAGCTGACCATGGTGCAGCAGCAGCTGGGTGCAGTAACAGCTGACCATGGTGCAGCTGCAGCTGTGATGCAGCAGCAGCTGTGGTGCAGCAACAGCTGACTGGTCCAATTTATCAGCTGACCGTGGTGCAGCAGCAGCAGCTGACTGTGGTACGATAGTATTTATCACCCTTTTTACCACAGGGTTGGCACTAGAGCTTCTTTGGGCCCATGGTGGCTTATTTAGCAGTTACAAGCACTATAAATAATGGAATAATACAAAATGTATCGAATGTATGCATGCAACCGGCCACCCTGGCTTGTAAACAATGACGGCAAGGCAGGCGCTCAGGCTGGACGGACAGGTTCGGGACGAGTCATGTTCTGAAAGCAGCTGATGGTGCAGCAGCAGCTGCCCTGGTCGCAGCAGCAGCTGACTGATCCAGCAAAACAGCTGACTGGTCCAGCAACAGCTGACTGGTCCAGCAAACAGCTGATTGATCCAGCAACAGCTGATTTGATCCAGCAACAGCTGACTGGTCCAGCAACAGCTGACTGGTCCAGCAACAGCTGACTGGTCCAGCAACAGCTGACTGGTCCAGCAACAGCTGACTGGCACAGCAGTCCAGCAACAGCTGACTGATCAGCAACAGCTTGACTGGTCCAGCAAAAAGCGGGACTGATCCAGCAACAGCTGACTGATCCAGCAACAGCTGACTGATCCATCAACAGCTGACTGATCCAGCAACAGCTGACTGATCCAGCAACAGCTGACTGATCCAGCAACAGCTGACAGATCCAGCAACAGCTAAACAGATCCAGCAACAGCTGACAGATCCAGCAACAGCTGACTGGTCCAGCAACAGCTGACTGGTCAGCAACAGCTGACTGGTCCAGCAACAGCTGACTGGCCCCAGCAACAGTTGAACTGATCCAGCAACAGTTGACTGTCCAGCAACAGCTGACTGGTCCAGCAACAGCTGATTGTGTCCAGCAACAGCTAAATTGTCGTGATGGATCAGCTAACTGATTGGCAGCAACAGCTGACTGGTCCAGCAACAGTTGATTGTGGATGC